AGAATCCCCTCACTGATTACACTCTAAATGATAATCTACCTTAACCAAAATCAAAATAGACTATCACTCACTATATTGCAGATGATGCGGTGAGCGTCGGGCCTGGTTATGGTAGAAAATATTTTCAATTCTCTCTTTTTCGCTTTGCTCTTCCCCATGGTTGGGGTATTTCGTTTTGCGGACCCACTGTATGGTTCCGTTTTTTTCTTATGGATATGGCAGAATTTGTTTTGGTAACCTTGTCTGCGTCCCGGTTGGTTTCGTCCCGTTGTTCAGTCTATTTTGGGATGCGTAGCGGTGCTTTCGTGCCGGATTAGTCATCCGGGTTTTATTTGGCATCCTGTTGGTTGATTCCCGTTGTTCGGCCTGTGTATTTGGGGGCGGTGCTTTTATGTGGGAATCGTCACCTGGGATCTTTGCTTTGTACGGATCCATCTTTTTATTATGATTATGTAAGATTTGGTAATTTTGGCACCCTTGTCTGCATCCCGGTTGGTTTCGTCCCGTTGATCGGCTTACGGTAGGGTGTCCGTGGCGGTGATTTCATGTGGGACCTGTCATCCGGGTTCTTTAATCCTTTTGGCATCCTGCAATCAGACTCGCTTTCATTCACACTTTTCATGCATGCAAACAGTAGCGCAGCAACTGGCGACATGCGCCCACTCAGAACTCAGAGATACGGCAACCCAGATACGAGTTCACTTTCAATGGCTATGGCGACTCAGCGCCCAAACAACTCTCTGTTCGCATACACCGGATCACCCTGGATATCCCACACGCGTTACTCTGCACTCACACACACACACACACACTACACACTAACTCTAGCTATGGCGGCTATGGCCGCAACTGCCCTATCGCTATGCTACGCTCCTTCTCTCTCGCCCACTTCAGCTCCGGGCTCACTGCAGACCTCCTTGCACAAGTTGCTGTGGCAGCGCTTCCGCATGGCTCACGCAGGAATGAACCAATGGCTGGGCGCTGCCTCTTGATTTATACTTCTGCAGCTCGTTGGTCTGGCCCTTTCCCATGCCCGAAGTGCACACAGTCCCATGCGGTACTTGCTTGACTGGACCAGGACTGCCTAGGACTSGGACTGCTGACTCAGCACGGGCAGACTCCACCACTTGCCTCACCACTTGCCCACTTGCCTCAGTCTAAACGTAGGCAACTTCGAAAGGCCACTACTGGGACCTTCCGGAAGGCCGTAGACTTGGCCTTTCGTGACCGTAGCAGCTACGACTTGACCCTTCTGGACTATAGCAGCTACGACCTTGACCTTTCGGGAAAAATACAGCTACGACTTCTAGACCTGACTAAGACTCCTAGTCTCGAGGTCTAGAGATCGATCCCCTGCTACCTATAGACTCTACGACGACCTACCAACTGTTACAAATACACAGGTCGGGGGTTCGACTCTAGGGGTCGACACAGATACTGTACACAGGTAAGGTGAAGACTAGGGATCGAACCCTGGGATCTGCATCAGCTACTGCGAACTGGTGAATACCGTTTCAATCCTCGTTGGCTGTCTCCCGTTGTTCGGCCTTGGTGCGATGGGGCGGTGCTTTTCTGTGGGAATCGCCATCTGGGATCGTCTTTTTTTTTTTTTTTTTTTGCCGTTGGTGGCGTCCCAGTATTTTAGTTTGGAACAGCGAAGCATTAGAAAGATGAAAATGATACCAGTTTTTGCAACAAAAAAGAATTGCAAAGGATTCTTGGAGTTGACGCAGAGTCACTGGTGAGTACGAAAGGTTTGTTCTCTGGGATTGCTTGTTTGCAGGCAAGGGTGTTTTGATATTCTGGTTGGTCTTGTCCCATTGTTTCGCCTGTGACGGAGGGGGTGGTGCTTGCATGTGGGACTTGTCATCTAATATTTGTTTATGTTTGTTTCCCCCTGTTTTGTTATATTTGCCTGTTCCCTTCCTCTTTGTTTGCCTCTTTGCCTTTTGGCTGTGTGCATGTGGGTCGATATGACACACAGGGGTGGGGGCAGCCGCCGCTCAACCTACATCCACGTGGGCGGCCTTGTATGCAAGAGGTTCTGAACAGGGGGAGTTGCAAGGAAGAAGATAAAAAAACGAATTCATAATTATTCATTTTTCCTTGTTTTCTTTCTTTTTTCTTTTTTTTGCTTTTGCGCTCTGATATTCTTGTGACAATATATATATACATATATATCGTCATATATATATATATATATATATATATACAGTTTGTCACAGCCCCTCGTTTGTTGTCCTCTTCTCTCTCTCTGCCTACGGTTTACTGGGCAGTTCT